TGAGAAAGCCAGTTTTGGGTGGTGAAATTTCATGAAATCCGCTCAAAAGGAAATACCATACCACATTTAAATGAGCAAGTAAAAATTTGATAGTGTAAATGTGATATGAAGATAGAGGATTGGTGATTAGCCCTGGACAGAAGGAGAGATACCACGAATGTTTAGCAGACAATTGGTTAAAGGATCGGCTTCACTTGCCTCTTTGACGAGTTGTAATGTGCTGCTAAGAATGGCAAAGCCCACTGACGATGCCGGCGAAATGTCTAGAAATGTACCACGTCCACGGTCCGACTCTGGAAATTATCGTGCATGCTATGGACTCCGGACTAGGTGCATTCCTATAAGAATTCCTACCAATATGACCAAGTTGCGAAAAGAGGGTTAAACAACTTCAATATAAGAATGATTTAGAAGGTTATTTCAGAAGGCAAATATCAAGGCAACCGTGATAAGTAAGCCATATATATAGAGTAGTTAAGAATTGCTTCCGTATTAAGAAGGCAAAATAACTCTATATTTAAGTATAAAAAAAACATGTTTTATCTCTACTTCTGGATGGATGTTACCCAATGGAAGTCAACGGCCAACAAATATATTATTCTTAGATATTAAGACTAAGATAGTTTGGCGCCTTTCACTGACGGTGCCAGGAAAACGTTTGTCAATGTATCAAGTCAATGATTCGATGCTAGAAATCACGAAAACATGACTAGGCACATCCCACAAGGTCTCCCTGATGCTCCGACCAAGTTGCGAAAACGAGGTCGAACCAACACAAAAAATATTAATGTTCATTATAAGTAGACTTGTAGATTCTTATCCGAAAATATTAATGGTTGTATAGAATTGATTTATTAAAAGCCTTTTAAATTCTTGGTGGAAAATCTAAGTTATTTTGTATTAACGCAAAATATAAAAATAAATAAAAAAAAAATTCTTTAGAAGTTGTTTGACCTTGTTTTCGCAACTCGGTCATATTGGTAGGAAGGCTTAGAGGGACGCACCTAGTCCGGAGTCCATTGTATGCATCATCATTTCCAGAGTAGGACCGTGGACGTG